CACATCCACACTTCAGCCTGCAGGACAAGAGAGAGAGGATAGGATATTTGCTCAGTCATGTCCAACCCTTTGTGACCCTATGGACTATAGTCTGCCAGGCTCCCCATCCATGGAATTCTACAGGTAAGAATGCTGGAGTGAGTTGCCATTCCCTTCTGCAGGGGATCTTTCCAACCCAGGGATCGAACCTGGGTCTCCTGCATTGCAAACAGATTCTTTACAAATGCCAGGGAAGTTTCCGAGAGAGAGGAGCAATGGAATATAAACTTACTTCCTTTCTGGAACATGACCTGAAATTTTCACTCTTCACTTCTGCTGATGCCCCATTAGCCAGAATCTAGTTACACTGTCACAGGTAGTCACAAGGGAGACTGGCCAAGTGCCCAGCTTAAACTTCTATTACAATAGGAAAGGGGGATAAGGGACATGGGGAAGTACAACTAGGACTCAGCCCCAAGCGACTCTGAACGTCGCTTGATGATCAATCGCCCCTCTGGGGTGCTCGTGTCGTGTGCAAGACCCCAGGGGTCACGTTGCTGGGGGTGTCCAAGCCAACTTAACATTCCTTCTCTTACCAATAACCCCAGTCTCTTTACTGTCATTCAAAACAGGAAGTCATGCCCCACCTCCCAGCTTTTGCTTATGCTCTTCCCTAACTAGAAATATTTCATCCCCTTCTCCACACGCATATTGACTTTACCATCCCCTCAAGTCTCATCTCCTCCCCAAAATATTCCCTGACAAGCCCAGCCCACTCTGACTTCCCATAGCATTTCTTGATCTTTATATTTTCATACTCTGTTCCCTGTAGCTAAGTCTTAGCTTCAGAACTAGACAGCAGGTTTCTTGAGAAGAGAGTCCCCATCATACAGTTTTCTTATATCCTCTATGGAATCTTGCTTAAGTGCTATGCACCCACATCTGTTTAGTAATTATGCTTTGAAATAAACTGAATTTGATTAAAGTGACATACTAAATAATTTAGGACAATATTATTATTTCCCTTTAATTATAGTACTTTTTTAACCTAAGTTTTCTACATAATTAAAATCATTGTAAATAAGCAAATGCACAAGTACATAAGTATCTTCGTAATTAAAGAAACAGGTTTTATTCTTATTTAGTTTTCTAATTCAATTGTAGGCTGGACAACTTTGCATCAGCAGTACGTGCGCTGTTTCAGAAACTAAGTAAGATAAGAATAGCCTAAGTGTCTAGCACAGGATCTGACACATAGGTGGTGCTGAGTAAATGCTACAAGAAAAAGTCAAGGGCAGAGTTTAAAGGTAAATTGAGTTCAACTGTTTACAACTTACTGCACAAACAAGGATTCTGGTGTTAGACTGGTTTGAACTTCGGTTCTTCCACTTATTCACAGTTTTGCCGAGCATTCAATGAATTGACTAGTATGTTTGCCATCTTCCATTATCTCTCATTTCCATGTACACCCTTCTATATATTTTTTTAATACTGTCGGTTTCTAGTCTGCAAATTATATTTCCCAGATTCCCTTGCTAGCTGATTTCCAGTTGGGGTATGTGATGGAAGGCACAAGGGGGACATGGGAAAGCAGGAGGAAAGAGGAAGAAACACTCTTCTTCCTCACACCATTTTTTAAAATTATTATTTATTTATTTGGCTGCCCTGGGTCTTAGTTGCAGTACTTGAGATCTTCAATCTTAGTTGTGGCATGTATGATCTAGTCTACTTACCAGGGATCAAACCCAGGCCCCCTGCTTTGGAAGCAAGGAATCTTAGCTACTGAACCACAAGACCTATTACACCTTCTTTTAGACTCCTGTGACTTTTGACACTCCTAGCACTGTTGTCAAGCCACTTTCTCAGAGGTCCTAGCCACACAGTGCCACCTCGGCCGTCCTGCTACCAGGTCATGATGGCCCCGCAGCAGCCCAACTTCTAAAGTGGTGGCCTTTCTTCCGCATTCCTAGGTTCTCATTATACCTCTATCCTTTTGTTCGCCCGACCTTCAAGTTGCTCCCTGTGTTTACTCACCTCACTGCTCCCTTTTGGATGTTCCGACACCTGTGAAATTCATTCACTCTGTTAAATACCCTCTAGTTCAAATACCTTGTATAATTTCTGTTTTCCTGACTACCTTTTGACCAATACAGTATGTAATGTACTTAATGCATTTCATCTTCTCAACAAATGTGAGTTCTCTCCTAAGTGATTTCACTCTGCTGTGTTGTAATGGAAGTAAATATATATTAATTTTATTTTTTAAATTCTCATTTCTTTTTTTAGAGTTGTTTGTCTTTCTCCACAGGCTCCCAAGAATTCCACAAAGACCATGGTTCTCAGCCTTAGGTATGAACTATAATCAGCTGCAGAATCCTCAAAAATACAGATGCTGAGGCCCTTCTAGGACCTTAGAAAGGATAGGACTGAGTTATTGCATTTTGAGGAAGTTCTCTAGGTAGTTATTGGTGCTAGTTTGAGGACCCCTGGTTTAGATACTCACAATATAGTACATTAAGTATGATCTCTTAATGCTTCATCATTGGTAAAATGTACCTGCTTACCAGTGTCTCAATACATGTTTTTTGATAATGATGCTGACACTTTACTCAATAACCAGTTGAATAATCTCTTGTTTCAGTGGCATTAAGATCAGACCAACCGTGAACTGGTTTACCAACATGATACTAGGTGTTTCTTGGCTCCATTACAGGCATGAGGGAGGGGTAGAGCAAACTCACATGGATGGTAAGTGGTAGAATCAAGGCTTGATGTGTTGAAATTTAGGGGCAGCACCAAGAAAAATTATATTCTCAACATCCTAGGCCTATACCACGCATGTATGCCCAGTCATGTCTGACTCTCTGCGACCCTATGGACTATACCTCGGCAGGCTTCTCTGTCCATGAAATTTTCTAGGCAAGAATACTAGAGTGGGTTGCCATTTCCTATTTCAGGAGATCTTCTCAACCCAGGGATCAAACCTACCTCTCCTGTATCACTTGCATTGGCAAGCAGATTCTTTTACCACTGCACCACCTGGGAATCCCCAGATCTATATCACTCAGAGATAATTCAAGCCCGAGATGAGGGAATCTTAGGAAGAACAAAAGAGGATGCCACAAATATTGATCACATCACCTGTTCTCTGGATACTCTTACCTCTTTCTTTTCTACTGTTCTTTTCATACTGACCTTATTAAGGAAAACCTCAAACCCATTACAGTCTTACTCCTTTAAACCTATGTTTCTCTCACCCATCCCCCATACCAGATTTGCTAGATCCAAATCAGAAGCCCACAAAATGCCCCTTGGGTAAAGAGTGATCCTGTGAATGCTTTGCCCTCACAAGAAAATCATGGCACTAGACTCTCATCGAATGCTGTGCTTAGGCACTCAAGTCGTGTCTGACTTTTTGTGACCCCATGGACTGTAGCCTGCCAGGCTCCTCTCTGTCCATGGAATTCTCCAGGCAAGAATACTGGAGTGGGTTGCCATTTCCTTCTCCACATCAAATCCTATCCCTTCTAATTATTAATGTACCAAATGATGTCTCATTGGTGGGCTTCCAAATTCTACCTCAGCTGAGAAACCCAGTGGTAGCCAACAAAGTATAATGAAAGAATCCAGGAAAGGGTTAGTGTAACATGCTGGGTGACAGCAAACGGTATGTCTGTTTTTTCCTTTTTTTACCACAGCCCACAGCATATGGAACTTCCAAGACCAGGGATCAAACCCGTGCCCCCTGAATTAGAAGCATAGTGATCCTGTGAATGCTTTGCCCTCACAAGAAAATCATGGCACTAGACTCTCATCGAATGCTGTGCTTAGGCACTCAAGTCGTGTCTGACTTTTGGTGACCCCATGGACTGTAGCCTGCCAGGCTCCTCTCTGTCCATGGAATTCTCCAGGCAAGAATACTGGAGTGGGTTGCCATTTCCTTCTCCACATCAAATCCTATCCCTTCTAATTATTAATGTACCAAATGATGTCTCATTGGTGGGCTTCCAAATTCTACCTCAGCTGAGAAACCCAGTGGTAGCCAACAAAGTATAATGAAAGAATCCAGGAAAGGGTTAGTGTAACATGCTGGGTGACAGCAAACGGTATGTCTGTTTTTTCCTTTTTTTACCACAGCCCACAGCATATGGAACTTCCAAGACCAGGGATCAAACCCGTGCCCCCTGAATTAGAAGCATGGAGTCTGAACAACTGGACCACTAGGGAAGTTCAAGGACAACTTAATTATTATTTTAACAAGTAAATCAGAGCTTATACATCCAAATGGCAAATTTTTTCAAGCCACGTTGCCATAGCTCACTGTATTTTAAAACTCTCCCTAGAGCCTTGCTGTAGATTTTTATGAAAAGTTCTCCATAGCCTCAAATGGGTGTATTTGATTATTTGGAAACAACTGGAGTCATTTGAAAGTAAGCCTGGTGAACAAGGTATGTGATCAAGCTGAGAGACATCATTATGTGGTGGGGCTGTAGCCAACCGAAACCAGGAAGGAAGGAGAGTGTGAACAAGTTGTGAACACAATTTGCAAATGTAATGGAAAGCATTTTAGATAGTATTTGGAAGGAATTACAGTCTCCCAAGATGATGATTTTAAAAGATCCCTCTCATTCTGAATAAACTGATCATATACATGTACGTGGATCTTTTTCTTTTTTAAATCAACCTGTTTTATTACAACCTATTATAATATTGTTGGAGAAGGCAATGGCACACCACTCCAGTACTCGTGCCTGGAAAATCCCATGGACGGAGGAGCCTGGTAGGCTGCGATCCATGGGGTAGCTAAGAGTCGGACACGACTGAGCAACTTCACTTTCTTTTCACTTTCCTGCTTTGGAGAAGGAAATGGCAACCCATTCCAGTGTTCTTGCCTGGAGAATCCCAGGGACGGGGGAGCCTGGTGGGCTGACATCTGTGGGGTCGCACAGAGTCGGACACGACTGAAGTGACTTAGCAGCAGTGGCAGAATTATTGTAATAACTTTATAATATTATATTTACAGAAGTTGTTCTCAGTTCTGTCTCCATGTATGAAGACCCCAAGCTGTCCAGGGTATTTTCTCTGCCCATCACGACTCAAGGCAATGAGATTGTCTGAAAAAGACAGGGATTTTGGAAAAAGATTGGTATACAAATTTGGGCCTCAACTACTTACTCTCTCTGTGATCTTAAGCAAGTTATTTGAGCTCACTGTACTTTGGTTTTCTTATCTGTAAAATGAGTATAATAATACTTATCCCATAGGGAAAATAAGAGAATTAAAGAAAATAATGTATGCAAGTGCCTAGCGCACTGTCTTGGCCCAAAGCAGACACATGCAAACATGACTATTATCAATGTGTGGATGCAGTGTGGACCATTTTTCGTGTGTGTGTCTATATGAACCAGAGAGCCAAGCCCAGGACAGCCTGTGATGAGTTCTAAGCAGGGCAGGGAGGAGTGAATGATAGCACACTGAAACAGTTTTCCTCTTCTCTTGATCCGCCAATGTCTTGTGCTGTACTTAGTAGCTCAGTCATGTTGACTGCAACTCCATGGACTGTAAACCAGGCTCTTCTATCCATGGGGATTCTCCAGGCAAGAATACTGGAGTTGGGTTGCCATGACCTCCTTCAGGGGATCTTCCCAACCCAAGGATCAAACTCAGGTCTCCTTCATTGCAGGTGGATTCTTTACCATCTGATCCACCTGTGGGATCCTGCAAAACTGGAGTCTTATCATCTCAAAATGCATCAGTATGTTAGAATATTAATACAAAGGTATCTCATTGACCCAGTGGTATTGAGGATGCAGCTTCCTACATACCCCAGATAATAAGCTTTTCCCTCTGACAACCAACACTTTCAATGTTAACCATTTGGGAGAAAATCATTCAAAAACATGTATTTACCATTGATTTTTTGAAGCAAGGGTCATGACTTAACATTTTCGTTTTAACCCACTGTCATCATTAGGAGCAAGCATTGCAACCTGGAGTGGGGCTCAGGCTTAGGCCTGCTGTCTGGGTTTTCTGACTTCTCCTTCCTCGATGTCAGTCATTGTCCAGATGTGACAGGCTTGAGAGGAAACAAGTTCACCAACCTTGGAAACAGGCAGACACTCAGAAATCCCCAATGTTTGGGAGAGTGGTTACCAACTACTTAGGGCCATGGGTTCTTTGATAGGGGGTTCGGAGTGAGACCCTCCTTCAGCCATGTCAGCTTGAGCAAATTACTGTACTGAATCTGTTTCTTCCTCTGTTCAGTGAGAATAAAAATAGTAGCTACATCGTAGGGGAGTCATGAGTCTTAAACGGGGACACTTAGACATAAAGTGTTTCGCATGGCACAGGACAGACAGCAAATGCTCAATAAACATTACCTCTGTTCTTACTGTTACTGTAATAAAGCAGGATGAGCAGCGCCCTTCGCAGACAGCCATTGTTGTGTCTCGATACTCCACACCCTGTTACTAGGCAACAGGGCTTAGCCATTGATTGGTGCCTCAGATGGCCCCACCCACAAGCAACCAACTGTCAATGAATAACCATTACTTGTCCTGCTCAGCTATTGGTCAGCACCGCAGTGGACCCTGCTCACAAGTAACTGTCAGTGAGGAACCACTGGGGAAGTGATTGAGGAAAAGGTCACTGGTATGGCAGTCGTCAGGTGGAGCTTGAAGTAAGAGGCAGATTCAGGGCTTCTCCTGGAGATCCTCCAGCTCACCCAGCCTTGGACCAGCAGGTGAGCTGGAGGGCCCAGGGAACAGACTGGGAACCACACCCTGAGGGCTCCGGAGCCCTCACCAAGGCCCTCCACTAGCCATGGCCCAGGCCTTGAGGAGCGGTGAATCTCTCTCCCATCCCTATCTCTGTGACCTAATAGCAGTGGCCATCTGCCTGACCTGTGAGACCTGGTCTCCCCATTTGGGCCACCTGAGGAGACTGAGGGCCAGCTGGGTTGGGTGCCTGGCTCCCTCAGGGATGACAGCTGGGAAGACTGGGAACCTGGCCCTGAAGGAGCTGCCAACCGAGATCCTCCTCCTCTTAGCCAGGACGGGAACGTCGGAGGGTGAGAGTTGTGCTTCCGGATCTTGCCCTTTCTGGTCAGGACAGAGAATAACATTCATTTGGTAGAGATTTACAGGAACATCCTCACCTGACTATGACCAGACCTCAAGAACGAAGGAGCTGACACCGAGACGTTTGCAACAACTCACCACGCCCATCCCTCACCTCTTGCTTTTAAAGGGACTTCCTGAAAGCTTTCAGTAACTTTGGGGTTCTTAGGGCATAAGTCACCCATCTCCTTGTATGAATCGGTAACAAACCTTTCTCTCTTGCAAACTCTAATGTTTTAGCCTTGATGGTCCCCACTGGGTGTCCGGCATACAGACTTGCAATGTCGGTAACTACTAGCAAGTAAGGTCTCACGGACACTGACTGCTCTCCCGTGACACTCATAAACACCCACGCTTTGTACGTCTTTTCTTCCATCCACTAAAGATTGTGGAAGGAGTAGCCTAATGGCCAGTGACTAGAGTGCTCTTTGTTTTCCCCCATAGTCTGGTAAAACCACCAGATAAGAGAATTTCAGCCAATGAAAACCTCCAATCATTCTATCAAAGCCAATCCAAGCCTTCTTGTTAAGGACCACATTTCTTACACCGTGAGTGGCCAGCCAGACCAGCCATCTGCACCTCTGTGAGCCCTGCAGGCAGACACATTGAGAGTAGGAGGGGACCCCAGGGGACCAAACACCTCTGTCAGATGAAGTCATCAAACCCTGGCTGGTGATCCCTGGTGGCAGAAGGGCAGGGAGGCTGGAAGCCCCCAGAGCCTCTCATTTGGCACCCTTTCTGGCATTGAAAAGAAATGTGCCCAGAGCGATGGCAGCTGCATTGATCTGATGAGGATTAGGGAGACTGTGCAGCTCTCCAAGTGGTTATTTTCTATCTTGTGTATCCTGTAGGGGGTTAATTAACATCCTCGACGGTGTGCTATTCTGGCTGTTTCACCACTGGGGGATGTAATTTCAGGTCACTCTGAAGTTAAGTGAAGACAACAACAACAGCTGCAGCCTTTGTTGAGGTCCAGACTGCCAGCCGCTGAGCAGGCCCCAGCCCCGCACTTCATTCTGTGTGAGCACCATTAATAACCAACAAGGGGCACTCAAATCAGGGGACCAGAGCTTTCACTGAGCATGCGCCCCTGGGTTAGGGTCTTTGTACTAACTTCCTGGTGACATGCCTCCCCCAGGGACTCACTGCCTCAAAATGAGATTCCCAATACAAGTGCCAGACAGGAGCCTATCTGACAATTTTCTGTATTTTATGTCCCCAGGACTGTTCTTTCTCCATTGAACCTATGCAAGCTCCATTTACACATCAGCAGCTGTAGCCCACTTTATCCAGCATTGTTTTTTTTTTAATACATATATATATATATATAAAGTTGGAGGTCTATGGAATTTTTATAAAGCAAGTCACATTTTAGATGCACTAGATGACCTTGAAACTGCACTAGTTCTACTGCCACATAACAGATTACCCCCAAAACTAAGTGGATAACACAATAAGGAATACTTATTATCCTCACAATGCCTGTTTGTCGGGAATTCAAGTGTGTCTTATCCATGCAGTTTCTGCCTGGGGTGAATCATGAGGTGACTGTCATGATGTCAACTAGACCTGCTTGTCCCTGGGAGGGCCGGCTTCCAAGATGGCCTGCTCACACGGCAAGCAGGTTGATGCTCTTGTTGTTCGAGGCCTTACTTTCTCCAAACATGAGCCTGTCAGGCTACTAAATGTGCTCACAATAAGGCCACAAACTACCCTGAGAGTGAGTATCCATGAGAGGGAGCCAGGTAAGAGACGTCCTTTTTATGACTCAACCTCAGAACTCATGTTCTATTCTCTAGAAGGCAGGCAATCACGCAGCTGAGGAGGGAATTAGTTCCACCTTTTTTTTTTATTGAGGTATAGTTGCTGAGAGTATTATATAAGTTTCAGGTGTATAGCATAGTGATTCACAATATTTAAAGGTTATACTCCATGAATAGTTATTATAAAATATTGGCTATATTCCCTATATTGCACAGTATAACCTTGTAGCTTATTTTATACCTAATAGTTTTTACTTCTTAAGCCTCTACACCTATTTTGCCCCTTCTCCCTTCCCTCTCCTGACTGGTAACCAATAATTGTTCTCCACATCTGTGAGTCTTGTTCTTTCTTGTTATATATTCACTAGTTTGTTTTCCTTTTTAGATTCCACATACAAGGGATATTATACAGCATTTTCTTTCTCTGACTTATTTCACTGAATAGAACACCCTCCAAGTCCATCAGTATTGCTGCAAATGGCAAACTTTCATTCATTTTTATGGCTGAGTAATATTGCTCTGTATATGCATATACTACAGCTTCTTTATCCATTCATGTGCTGATAGACACAGATTGTTTCTATATCTCAGCTATTGTAAATAATGCTGCAATGAACATTGGAGTGCATGTATCTTTTCTTTCTTTTTTTGGTAGTTTTTAAAATAGAATTCTATTTATTTTTGGCTGTGCTGCATCTTTGTTGCAGTGTGGGCTTTTCTCTAGTTGTGGTACTCAGGCTTCTCATTGCAGTGACTTCTCTTGTTGGGGGGCATGAGCTCTAGAGCATAGACCCAACAGTTGTGGCACACGAGCTTAAGTGCTCTGAGGCATGTGGGATCTTCCCAGATCAGGGATTGAACCCATGTCTCCTGCATAGGCAGGCAGACTCTTTACCACTGAGCCACCAGGGAAGCCATGTATCTTTTCAAATTAATGTTTCTATTTTCTTGGGATATATACCCAGGAGTGAAATTGCTGGATCATACAGTAATTCTGTTTTTTGCTCTTTGAGGAACCTCCAGACTGTTTTCCACTGTGGCTACACCAACTGACATTCCCATTCAGTGTCCAAGGGTTCCTTTTTCTCCACACCCTTGTCAACATTTGTTATTTGTGTTCTTTTTGATGATAGTCATTATGACCAATGCGAGCAGATACTTGAGTGTTGTTCTGATTTGAATTTCTCTGACAATGATGTTGAGCATCTTTTCCTATGGATTCGCTCTACTTCTGAAGGGAGCAGTATCAGAATTAGTGAGCTTATTTTTATGCCATTACAGACACTAAGAGGTGCATAATTCATTCACGTAACAGATACTTATTTAGTACCTACTACGTGTTCACATTGTTCTAGATGCTTGGAATACCTCCTAGACAATACAGACCAAAAGTCCCTGCCTGCCCTTGTCAAGTTAAATTCTAGTGGAGAGAGAAAAAAATGAACAATAGCAGAGTAAGTGCATTTTATAGCAACCCACTCCAGTATTCTCGCCTGGAGAGCTCTTTGGACAGAGTAGCCTGGTGGGCTACAGTCCAAGGGGTCACAAAGAGTCAGACACAATTGAGTGACTAACACTTCACTTCATAGTGTGCTGAGGTTTAAGTGCTGGGGTGTGGGACAGGAAGTAGTGCTTTGGAGTCCCAGAGTCAGGTTACATTTTAAATGAGGCCAACAGACTAGCCCTCACCGAGCAGGTGGAGTGGGACGTGCGAGTGTGCACAGTCGCTCAGTCGTGTCTGACTCTTTGTGACCCCATGGACTGTAGCCCGCCAGGTTCCTCTGTCCATGGAATTTTCCAGGGCGAGAATACTGGAGTGAGTTGCCATTTCCTACTCCAGACCCAGGGATGGAACCTGTGTCTCCTGCATCTCTTGCATTGGCAGGTGAATTCTTTACTACTGAGCCTCCTGGAAAGCCAGGAGTGGGACAGGCGGGGGTTTGGAAAGGTGGTGGGCCGTGTTGCGTGTGGCTGCGTGAGCCAGTGTATGACCACAGAGCCCAGCTCCTATGAACCCTGGTCATTGTTACCACGGTCCCTCGTGGGTGCAGGTGGGGAGTGGCGTTTCCCAGCAGCTGGTGTTCCCACCCCAAACCCCCAAGCAGAAAATGCCCCAGTGGCCGTCCCCAGCTGCAGGTGGCCTTTGAGGCTGCTCAGACAGCACTTCCAGGCCTCGCTGAGACACGCAGCAGGCAGCCACACAGCGGACGTACAACACAGCGCAACCGAGGGGAGAGACAGTGAGTCACTCGGTCCTGCAGCGATCATGTTTGCAGGAGCAGCACTTGGGCAATGCTGAGTGTGTGATTTTAGTGTTTAAATTCAATCATGGTGTTTCTACAACAGGAGGTGAGCTCCAAATGACCCTCGACAGGAGCTGCCCAACCCAGAGAACCACCGAACTCTGGAGGCTTCAGAATCGTGAAGGAGGGAGGTGGGAAAGAGAAGCCATTCCAGACTTGAGTGTGGCTGAAGAAGGGTCAGTGCACAGGAGACCCTTGCCGATGGGCTGCCCGGAGCTGGAGGGGCAAGGGATGAAGCAGCTTTGGGTTGGTGCCAGAGAATTCCATGGGGTGCCCGGTTCTAATCCAGGCAGATTAGAAGGGTCCCAGGGCGAGTGGAAGCGTGAGAGGCATTTATACAGAGATCAGTTCAGTTTAGCTCAGTCATGTCCAACTCTTTGTGACCCCGTGGAGCGCAGCACGCCAGGCTTCCACGTGCTGCAGTCCATGCAGTCGAAGGGAAGTGTGAGCCCTATTCAAGGAGTGGTTACTGACCTGGAGGGTGTGGTGACTAACACCACGGGGGCGTCAGCCACCCCACAACCTCTCAGGCAGCCTATCTGATGGAGAAGGCCCCCTCCCAAGGGAAGAGAGTGTGGAGGTGCACAAGAGGGCCCAGGCGATGGTTCTGGGTCTGAGCATGGAGGAAGAGATGGTTCCCCGACAGGGTCAATGCCAGCCCAGGGGACCTTGCCCAAAGATGACTGTGAGGAGAGAAGGAATGAGAAAGCTTGGTCCCTGGAGGTGTGTAGCCACTAGGCATCTACCAGGAGAACAGGCCACAAGCACCTGGATGAGGACCCCCACGGGTACCAGAACAGTCTACAGCCACGTCCAAAGTCCACAGAGGCCAACAGTCAGGGCTGCAGGGCGCAGACACGGAGCTGCACCAAGAAAAGCATTCATTCCTACTCAGAGGACGGCATCCCTGAATGGTTAAAAGGCAGAGGCCAGGAAGATCCTCTGTGGGCCAGTGGCTAAGACTCCGCGCTCCCAATACAGGGGACCCAGGTTCTATCCCTGGTCAGGGACTTAGATCCCGCATGCCACGACTGAAGATCCCACCTGTGACAACTAAAGATTCTGCTTGCCACAAAGAAGATGGAAGATTCCACGTGCTGCAACTAAGACCCAGCACAGCCAAATAACTTTTTTTTTTTTTTAAAGGCAGGTGCTGGGCAGGGATGGACATTCAGGTTTGTATCCTGCTTACGCCACTTATTAGCTGTGTCAAACAAGTCTCTTAACCTCTCTTCAGCCTCAGCTTCCTCACCTGTCAACTTCACACAGCTGGTGAGACATAAATGAGATAAAACACTTAACACAGTTCCTGGCTATAGAAATAATCCGCAAATAGCTGCTATTTTTATTGTGACTATTTTTGCAAATGTGGACAGCTGCTGTGGGGGGCTTTGTTTGGTTTTGTTGCCCAGCATCTCTTCCTGTGGAATTGCCCCTCCTACTCCCACCCACTTGGTTCTGGTGTCCGGCTAATCCTAGCACTTGGACCCCTGCTGACAGGAGATGGGCAACTGACCAATCAGATGCTCTCTCCGGGGGACTGGAACTCTTTAAGTGTCGTCATGCAGGAAGGCAGTTAGAGCTGAGTCATCCTGCGACGGGGAATTTCCTGGAGCAACTCCTGCTTCATCCCTCCCAGGGTCTGGTATGAAACTCACACTTCCAGTGTCTGAGCTTGGCCGGTCTCGCCCCATTGAGCCTCTCACTGCAGCCAAGTATTTCTCCTGACGAAACAGCCTCAGGGTGAGCCTTTGGAAATGGCCGTGTGAATGGCAGCGTGGGGACTGGAAGCTGGGAAAGAGGAAGTGATCTTCCCATCTACTGTCTTCCCTTATCACTTAGGCCATCAGGAGGGCTTCTCTCCTGCCATCTCTGCTTTTTTAAAAACTTTTGTTTTTTCATGGTACTATTTGTGCTTAAATTCAGATAGTGAATAGAGTTGGGACAACTGGGTAGACATCTGGAAAAGATAAGCTGCATCAATATATGAGGGTAAATTCTAAATGGATCAAAGATGTCAATGTAGAAAGTGAGAACTTAAAGTCACTAAGAGAAAGCATAGATGAATTACTTTATAAGCTTTGAGTGGGGAGGGTCTTTCTAATTATAACTCAGAACCCAGAATCTATCACAGAAAATATTTATAAATATGACTACACACCCATCAAAAACTTAGCAGGAAATTGTAGCGAAGACAAATGACGAACTAGAAAAAATGTACAATATAAATGATTAATTTCTCTAAAATATAAAGAGCCCTTAGAAATTAAGAAGAAAAAGATCAAAAAATAATAAGAAAGTGAGCAAAGAACATAATCAGAACATTCAGAGAAAAATATAAATGGCTTTTAAATATTTAGAAGATTCTTAATCTCACTTATAATAAGAGCAGCCGTATTGACACCTGACAGACTGACAAAAACTCAGAAGTTTGACAGTGTGTTCTTCTGATGAGGCTGTGAGAAAATAACCACTTTTACACAATTCTGGTGGGAGAATAAGATCTCACAACCCCTGTGGAGAGCAATTAGGCACTGTCCATCAAAAGTACAAACATATTTGCCCTTTGACCTCTGGAAATTTATTCTACAGCTATATCTGCACACAAATGAAATAACATATGTATGAGGTTTTTCATTCCTGCATTGTTGGTATTAATATTAGAATAACACTGGGAACATCCCTAGTGACTAGGGCTTTTTAGGGAGGAGGTTTGAGCTAAAGGTTTAAAAAAAAAAAATCCGTGTCCTGCTCTCCCCCCTCCGTTCCCATCCCCAGTTCTCAATTATTAATACCAAATGCTTTAGTTTCGTTTTCAGGTAT